CCAGCCCCGCGCTGGCCTTCTGGAAGCAGGTGCGGATGGACCTGGAGGATATCTGGAACAGCCTGTCCTCGGTGTTCACAGAAACGCAGCCAGTAAGTAAGCGTCTGGCCCACAAGCCGGGTCCTCACCCAGGCTGCCGAGGAGCCCTGATATCCCGGAGCCTGGACTCAGCCGGCCAGTGTGCTTCCTGAACTGTTTTTTGTTTGTTTTCAATAACTGTCAATTTTGGGTTTTATATACTTATTGTTGGTACTGGTGATTGAGCCCAGAGCCTTCCTTCGCCCTGAGCTACATCCCCAGTCTTTTTTTGAGGGGGCGGTTTACACAGGGTCTCACTGTGTAGTTGAGACTGACCTGGAACTCACTATGTAGCCCAGGCTGGTCTCAGACTCACAGCGATCCTCCTGCCTCAGCCTCCCGAGTGCTGGGATTACAGGCATGCGCCACCACATCCAGCCCTTTATTTTTTGAGACACCCTCTCACTGAGTTGCTCAGGCTGGGCTTCAACTTACAAGTGTGTGGCACCCAATTTTATTACTGATTCGTAACATGCTTTAGTCATTCATTATTGCTGCCCACGGATTCTACTTATTACTTGTTTCATTTTGTTTTTAAAATGGGGTTTGACCCAGAAATCCTGGGTTCAAGCAGTCCTCCTGCCTGGGCCTCTCAGAATAATTCAGCTGGATCACAAGTGTGTAACGCCCCACCCCCCAGCTACCACCTGTTTGGTCAATAATACACCTTACTGGTCAGTGGATAATTGATGGGTTAAGATCATGGAGACAGCCAGGTATGGCAGCGCAGGCCTGTAGCTGGAGTCCCAGTACTTGGCAGGCTGAGGCAGGAGGAGCAATGTGAGTCTGATGCCAGCCTGAACTGCACAGTGAGACCGTCTCAACACACACACACACAAATTGTAGTTACATAAAGGGTTCTTACTGAACAGATGATTAAGATGAAGGATATTTGTTTTGAACTAATAGTTGAATTTTTGGGGGGTTACTGGGGATCAAACTCGGGACCTTGCACTTGCGAAGCATGTGGCAGCACCACCGAGCCAAATCCCCAGCCTCGAATAGTTGAATTTTAACAACAGGCAATATCTGACCTTACTATGTGGACTTTACCTGGACCACAACCTTGTACGGTGTTGTCCCCCCTTACAAACAGGTGTTCAAAACTAGTACGCGGCAATCACAAGTAAGATCAAAGCTGGCGTCAAACATCAGTGCCCATGTTTGTAACCACCAAAGAACTATCATGAAATTCTTCCCCACAATTTAATTCTCATGAGCCAGGATAGAGGCTCCTAGCTATAATCCCAGCATTCTCAGAGACCGAGGCAAAAGGATCACAAATCCAAGCCCAGCTCGGGCAACGTGGCAACTTAGAGCTGTTTCAAAATAAAAAGGGCTGCTGGGGATTTAGCTCAGTGGTAACACGCCTCCCTCGCAAGCCCAAGGTCCTAAATTCAGTCCCCGGTCCCAATAAGATAAGATAAAAGGGTCTGGGGGTACAGCTCAATGGGAAGGGCCTGGGTTGTCCCTAGGACTGAATGAAGAAACCCGAAACAGAAAAAATCTTGAGGAAGGACAACAGTTCTTTGCTTTACCAAGTTACCAAAGGGTTGATTGGTCTGATAGTGTCTCAGTTGCTAGGGAGGATAGGGAGGGGAAAGGCAATAAAGGGTCATTTTGCTGGTTTTTACTTTTGTCTTCCTCCTCGTGTTCCCCTCAGCCCATCCCAGTAGCAGGGATTGGACCTAGGACCCTCACTCTTAAGTTACGTTCCCACGTCTTTATTTCCCCCCCCCCCTATTGAGACAGGTTCTTGCTGAATTCTGGGCTCAAACTTGGGATCTCCCTGCCTCAGCCTCCAAAAATATTGGAATCACAGATGTGTACACCTGGCTCCCTGTGCCCCACCACACCCAGTCCCAATACTATTTTGAATATTTAAAAACACACATGAAGGCCAGGCATGGTGGCAGACACCTGTAATCCCAGCACTTGGGAGGCTGAGGCAGGAGGATCGCTGAGTTCGAAACCAGCCTGGACTATGTAGTGAGTTCCAGGTCAGTCTCAACTAGTGAGACCCTGTCTCAAACACACACACACAAAGTGCTGGGGATGTTGCTTAGTGCCACTGCCCGCTTGGCAAGTGCAAGGTCCTGAGTTCAATCTCAGGTACTGGGGGGAAATAAAACACATAAAGAGGGAAGGCAGGCGGGTTGAGGGACTGAGGGGTGTGGGCGTAGACAGGGACGGAAAGGAGAGTGCAGACACGGTTTTAATTGCCCCTTCTTTTTCCTTACCCAGACAGACATAAAGCAGAGGTAATGGCCACTTCATCCACAGGAAGCGGTGTCAGCATGTCAAACTCTCCTCTCAACCCCAGCATCCACTAGTTATTTTTAGTACAGAAAAATAAAACAAAACAAACTTGGTCTTGTCTTTTTACAGAAGTATCTGAGAGAGACATAAATCTCAACCCAAAAATTGTTTCCTGGCCAGCAGCCTATTTTACTCCCCTACTCTGTATCCTCTGGATAAAATATTGACATTGTTCATCTTCTCATCTGCAACACTTTTGTGGGTTTTCAGAGGGCCTGGGGATTGAGCCCAGGGATATTCTACCACTGAGCTACATCCCCAGTCCTTTCTAGTTAGAGATGAAGTTTAAATTGCCCTGGTTGTGATCCTCTGCTTCAGCCTCCTAAGTAGTTGGGATTACAAGTATCACCACCTCTCAGCTAAACACTATGTATTTCTTTAAAAAAAATTTTTTTTTCCTTTGAGCCAGGTGTGGTGGTACACACCTGTAACCTCAGTACTCAGGAGGCTGAGGCAGGAGGGTCACCACAAGTTTTGAGGCCAGCCTGAACTACAAAGTGAGACTGTCTCAAAAACACCAAAAATTTTTTTTGAAATGGTCTTGCTACGTAGTACAGGCTGGCCTCAAACTTAGTGATCCTCCTGCCCAGCCTCCCACATACTAGCATTACAGGCATGCATCACCATCCAAGTACTTCTTTAGATTTGAAAACCTGAAATGCCAAGAAAAGGTATACTGCTGGATAATGGGGCTAAGCCTGTAATCTTAGCATTCTGGGAGGCTGAGGCAGGAGGCTTACAAGTTTGAATCCAGTCCCAGCTACTTAGTGAGACCACCTCAAAAAGAGCTGGAGCCCCTTAATCCTTTACATCCCTCATCTGACCTCCAGGTAGCTCATGAAGGCCCTGGGCTCAATCCTCAGCATCACATATACACAAAAGAACGAACAGAAAAGCAAAGGGTATAGGAAGAATCTGAACATTTCAAGGTTTTTCCTCCTTGCTGTAATGCTTGGCCCATTCTTCTGAAAAGACAAAACGTTGGCACAAGATTCCATCTCAGGCTAGGAATTTAGCTCAGAGGCACCGCTCCTGCCTCGAAAGCACAAGGTCCTAACCCGAGTTCAATCCCCAGTACCCCCGCTTTCCTTCTCAGCCGCTTTCCTTTTTGCCACACACAGGATTCACTCACTGGTTCCAGTACTGGATCTAACACTTGCTAAACATGCATTTCACACTATGTGGCCGGATTTTCATGGCAGCAGTTCACACAGGGCCAGCCACTTCACGCTGCTGATCAGCTGTATCCAGTGCACATTTGCAATGATTACTCTGCAACTCCTTTGTTTACATTTTTATTTGAAAAATGCATTTAAAAGTCCAACAAATTCTTAATATAAATTATGACTGTCAACCCCATTCCCATCACTTTGTCAACGTGAAGGTGGAACACACAAAGGGAAGGTAGCTCAAGGCAAGAGCACCAGGCTGCCCAGAGAACAGCCACTAGGTGAGGCAGGAGACAGGAGTTCCCACCTTTCTCCTTACCCGCCCTCACCAACCCCAGTCTAACCCAGGCTACCAGGCTCCTGGGCAGCAGGTGGGCCACGCATCAGAGCAACTTGCTTGAGCAGAACTGCGAGGACTTGGGAATGCACCTCCGTCACCCATCTTAGACCTTGAACTAAAGCACACCGAAATTTGAAAAACTAAATGGGGGCAAAATGGATGGCTGGATGGAATTAGCAGACTGGATGCGACTCCAGCTCTGACCCTGCTACAGAGCCAAGGAGACCCCCACCACCCCGTCTCGGAGCAGGCAGGAGCCCATCTGCCTTCCTGACCGCCCTGCAAAGAAGGGGCCAGAACAAAAACACCTGAGAAAACAAAGTGCCTAAAGACCCTGTCCTCCACTGCTTTCCTGTCCAAAGCACCCTGCAGCCAGACGGGTGGGTCTGGTCTTCAGACAAAACTCCCTGAGTCTTAGTTGTGTCTGCTTCTGGGGCTGGGAACAGCAACAGAGCCGAGCTGGAGGGGGTGACTGCGGAGGGAGGGCGCCTCCCCAAGTCCGCACTGTTCCTGTCTCCACACTCCAAGGACGAGCAGCTCGGTGCGTCCCGGTGCAGACTCTGGCCACGCAGCCCAAGGAATGACGACGATGCGGTGACCTTCTGAGCCTACTTTACAAGAGTCCTAGGACAGGAGTGAAAACCCTTCAAAGTGCCTTGATTCGGAGCTGCGCTTCCCAGCCTGAGGCAGTTCTGCCCCGGAGACATTTGGCAATTTCTGAAGACATGTTTGGTTGCCAAAACTTACGTGGGCCAGAGATGCTGCTAAACATCTCCTGATGACAAAGCAGCCCTCTGGAATAAAGAACTACAGGTCCAGAAAGTCGAGCGTGCCTCGCTGAGCACCTTGTCGGCCACTCCCTGCTCCCTGGCTACAGAGCCTCTCACACCAGGGGAGCTTCAGCCCGTGTCCGCCCCATGGGCCGGAAGTGCTCCTCCGCTCTCTGCATTCGGCTTTCTCTTCAGACCCTCTTTCTTCTCTCACCTGGGCCAGCAGGGAGGGTGGCAGAGGGCGGGCCAGGTCCCCCAAGACTTAAATGGAATGTCGACAGTTAGGATCCCTGTCACTTACTCAATGGGAAATAATGAGGTTCCGAACAGGGAGGAGGCCAAGGGCCAAGGACGTGGGAGGAGCGGGATGGGGGTAATTAAGTCATCTTAAATTAAAATTTTAATTAAAAGAAAAAAGGACTGCCGCTGGGAAGCTAGCGAGGCTACAGAAGCAGGATTTGGCAAGACCCTGGTGTCAGCAGAATGAGGGATACGGAGGGGCTAGCGCTTAAGGTCTAACGACAAAGAGCCGCCTGGGCAGTGGCTGCCCTCCCAGCCCCATGCCGACGCGAGCTTTGGATCATCAGCAGGGGAAAGAGAAGGGCAGGGAGGTAGAGAGCTTCTCAGGAAAGCCGGCTTCAGCTTTGGCTATCTCAGCTACCCACCCCGCGTAAGGAGTTCCAGGCTAAGAGTTCTCAAAGAGGTGGCACCCAGACCATCATTCAGGAGATGGCAACTCCACTCTCAGATCTCGGGTGTCCAGGGTTTCCACTGAGTTCCTCTGGCCTGCCAGGGGTCACTCGGTCAGTCCAGCTGCCTTGACCCATCGCCAGGAGGGGTGACAGCCAGAGAGGAGGAGGAGGAGTCCAGCCCCCATGCCTCGGAGGCACTGTTAGGCAGAGGGAAAGGAGGGACCCTTGGGTTCTAGAAGTCCTAGCAGGGAGCAAGTGAAGGCAGCATTTCTTCTGGGCTGGACAGAGTTGGAACTTCAAGATGGCAGAATCTGAATTTAAGAATGGAGACAAAGATTTGCCTTAAAAAACAAAATAAAAAACCAAAAAACCAAACACCAAGCCTTTAGGGAGAACCCAAACTTTCCCTCTATTCCCATTTAGACACCCCCCCCCTTTCTGATTGAGTCCACATTTTTTTTTTTTTTGTACCGGGGATTGAACTTGGGTCCTTGCGCTTGCAAGGCAGGCA